AGGCTACCATCAAAATGATGTAAATTAATATTTTGGTTTTCTTTTTTCCAAATTTTTTCAACTGTGATTGGTTCAGAATAAACTAAGTAATGGGATTGCAAGTATTATTAAAAAATGGAGGTAAGAGCCTTTCAATTTCGCGCTATAGTCCAGCATTCAGGAATCTCACAGTTATTAATTTTTTGGTGTGGAATAATTACTTCTCCATTCTTAATTGTAGTTTTTATATTAATAATTTGTTCACAGCGAGGGACAATAGTTATAAAATTTAAATTGTTTTGTCTTGTTTGGTGAAAAGATAATTTTATTTCTGTATATGGAGTGATCAGATAAGATTTTTTAAAGTTTAGACTTGCTTGCAGTAATTTTAAATTATCGGTTCCGATCAAACCGTCGAAGTAATTATGAAAATTGAAGAGATAAAATTTTAATTTCGTTGGGTTTGGTAAATTAAATATTTTTATCTTCTTCTTCTTCCAGTGCCTTTTCCCTTTTATTGGAGGTTGGCGACCACTACTCCAAACGCTTCTCTATCCCTCGCAACATGAAACAATTCCCCCACATTCAACCCTGTCCAGTCCCTGACATTTCTTAGCCAGGATTTCTTTTTTCTTCCGATACCCCTTCTTCCATCTAGTCTTCCCTGCATAATAGTTTGTAGTAGACGGTATTTATCATTTCTTAAATATTTTTATAATATAAGGTAATTCGCTTAAATTTGACATATTTAAAGAAATATGCGTGGGTGTTAAGTTTTCTTGTCTAATTGCGGAGCTTCCGTAAAATTTATATTTTCACTTAACTCATTATTATTTTCACCGACTGAAAACATTCAGTGTGCAATTTATCAGACTGAATTGTGGGTTGTTCCAAATGTACAAAATACTCTGGATTATTTTGCTGATAATGGCTGTTACAACATGAATAATAGTCAGGGTAATATGGGTCATAATAACATTGATCAAATTGATCGAGTTCCGTGTTGTACATCTCCTCGACTTCCACTTTTTGCGGTTTTTGAAATGGGATTATTTTTAAAATTATTTTGGTTATTGAAATTTGCTCTGCCACTGTTGCGCGCAGACACAGACATAGGCATAGGTGGAGGTAGATTTTTAATTTGGTTGGGTCTAAAGACATTCTGGGGTCTGCCAAAAACTTGTGAATTTGTATAGTATTTTTGCGGGGGTCTATAAACTGGCCTAATATCAATTGGACCGGTGGGAAATGCTTGTTGCTGATGTCTAAAATGATTTGGGTTATGCAAATTAAATTGCATATTTTGTTTGGAATGAAAATTTTGCAAATGCTGGTTATTATGTTTTAAATTCTGAGGTGGCTGATTTTGAATACTACTTTGGTCATATTTTGAAAATATGCCTGTTACTTTCTTGCATTACAAATGTTAAGGCCTTCGATAGGTTGCATACATCTAATGATTGTACCAATAGGTTCTTTTAAGCCCGACAAAAATGTTTTCAAAGCAAGGTCGTTATAGAGTTTACGTTTAATTTGTTTTTCTTCATTAATCGTTTCATGCGTATCAATAAATGAACAAATCAAATTTAGGATATGCAAAACTCGATCGTAAAATTGAGTCGGTTTTTCATTTAACTATCGGCGAAGCATCATTAAATCTCTGTTAAGACATGATTCGTCTCTTTGGTCCGCGAAATTTCAATACAAAATATTTTTTAAATCATCCCAAGTACTGGTTGTTTGAAGATTGATCACGACTTTTGCATTTCCTTTCAATTTACTAATTAGACAATTCAACAGGTATATATTTTTGAAAGAGTTAGGTTCTCTAACATTATAAAATTTATCAATAAAAGTTTCACACATAGTTAGGTATCTAGTTAAATCGTTTGGGTTCCCATCGAATTCGGGGACGCAGTTGAGATATTCAGCTTCAAAAGTTGCCATACTTACAAGAGATTCACTAAATTGACTGTCTGGTTCTAAATTATGTTTTTCAAAAACTGTTTCCAAATTTGTTGCGAAATAATTGTTCTGTCCTGAGCTGGTTGAAGGTGTATTGTTACTTAAATCGATAGCTAAGATTTCAATATTATCAATTATTTCGTGAGTTAAGACATTAACAAGTAATTGCAACTTACAGTACTAGATAGGGGGCGGTTCTGGTCATCCTTTCTATAAGAACAAGACTTCGATCGGCGATATTGGTCTTCACAAAAATTCTTGTCCTTGCGAAACTAGACGATATGGTTTCTAGTTTCCGATGATCGTTCCGATGATTTTCAGAAATCCACTCTGCCAAACACTAATCACCAATAGGTCCGATTTCCAATTAATCGATGATACGAAAAAAATGGAAACTACTGACTGCGCCAATTAACTACTCGGAACGACGGTTGCCTCTTTTAAAAAACTTTATTTGAATTTACAACCGCTTAAAATTGTGTGTTACAATAACATATCTAGACAGAACTCTCCGTCGACACCCTTAAACTACGTTTTTATATATAGGACTAGGACTCTGCTGGGTCAGCATTCTTGAATCTTCGCTAGTGAGATAACTTACTCCTATCATTCTTCTTAACTAGATTTAAGGAAAAACTTATGCAATGACTTAAACAAATATTTTTTTTATTTCATGTTTTAAAGCAATGCATAACGAGATAAAAAATATTAGATAAAATAAATTTGGTGGGCTGCTTATATTTCTTGAGGAGTTTCTTCTTATTTTTATTATATTCCATTATATAAATTATTACTCTTTAATATATAATTTTTTTCTGCGGTAATTCTTTAAATTGACTAGAGTAGAATGATCTGGGTAGCTTAATTCAATCCAATCCGCTCATTTTAGAAAAATAAAAAGGTGCGTTTTTATAAGCTTTCGTACCATTTTATTGTCCTTTTCCGTTTTTAAGATTAAAAATAAAAACGTTATTATTCGGCCTTATTTTTATAGCGGTTTCTCAATAATGGTTGACTTTTGACCGAAATTTTATATTACACACTGCCCTTTATTTTAGGCAACGGTTCATCCCATTACCTTTTTCGCATTTGTTTTGAAACACACTATACACTACTAAAACTTTCTAAACTCTTTCAACCACAAGCACATAACACTGGAAATAATTCAGCATTTTCTGTTGGCTCATTTAATATTAATAAAAATATTTATTTGGCAACAAAATAATACAGAAAAGTATTGCAAAATTTAGCCTTATGGTTGCAAAAATGGATTTGAAAAAAAAGTGCAAAAAGTTCAAGTTCAATCCCTAGACACTAAATAGATATTTGCATATTATATCTATTCCTTAACAAGCAATAAATTAAACAACGAGATACAATGAGAGGTATAGAGATATTTAAAGTGTAAGCTTAAGCATTTTAATTCTTCTGGAACTCCATTATACAGCTTATAGACGTTATCTTTGAAAGAGGGTTAGTTTTGGTTTGGCATAGGGTAACCGAGAGTTAGCCTCCATCTTCCCCTTCCTGCATGAAATCAGGAATACCAACATCATATTTTGAATTTCGGCGCGAATTACCACAGTTGACCAACCACTTTAACTTTTGGTCATAATTGTTACATTTAATAGTGAGTAGTCAATCTTTTATCTTTAATATTGATAATGACACAATGCATATTCATAATAAGGTAACTCAACATAAGTAAAGGTAATATAACAAGGATCATTTACTGAAAGCGCTGAATTTAGACATGAATATAAAAAAATTGACTTTAGAACAAGTCTGGACCTACAATCCGACTATAAGGTGTCTGGAAATTCAAAAAGTAATTATATAAGGCGGTTGGGCTAGAAATAATAGAGAAATAGAAAGCGTAAATTATAACTAGGACAGCTTACAACACGAAAGTACAAGAAAACTGTGTTTATGGAGAATTGAACAAACACGAAAGTCCCATACAGGATATGTAACATTAAAACTCGAAGAGGTAAAAAAACATCAGGGTCACTAGGGATAACCCACATCTGTATTTTCGATCATAACGTATGACCTACCGAATAGTTCCTTGAACTTTTATGAGTTTTGTCATAAATTATTTTATTATTTGCGCTCCGTTTTTTCGTTTCAACTAATGCTTTTTGTCTAATATTTTTCAAATCGCCATCACTTTCACCATAAGGATCTAGTTGTAATCTGAGTTTATGACTTATTTTGTCACATTGCTCTATACCAAAAAGAAAATTACTCGGTGTTTCAAAAATTGAAATGCAGAGAGTATTGTTTAGTTGTTACTCTACTTCAGGCATCTATTCCATTTTGCTAAATCGTCGGTTACCTTATCACACAACCCAGTAGATTGTGCCAGATAACTGCCACTATTGACAACATCTGTTTAGTCTTACTGTGGTTATAAAAATATATTTTTTAATGGTTGACAGATTCATGCGAAATTTCGAAAATTTGACTTTAAACTTTATATACAGTCTATAACTCACAATACATATTTAAAACCGCTGCCTGCTTTTTCTAGAAGATTATAATGTATAAATAAGATTTGAAATTTACTCACTGTTAGTGACGTACACTTAACTCAATTAAAGATATAGGCTTTAACATTTTCGAGCAAAATATCCGATTGCTCCCAAACCAGTGGTAAAATGACACTTGTCGCAACCTAGATCAGTGTATAGTTAGGTACTTTATAGAAAGGAGTATAAAGGCCATACTTATTGCATAATATACTAATTTCAATCCTGAAACGACCATCTGTTTGGGAACATGAAATATAAGCTTACCATCTTCATTTTTGCGATATACCAAACAAATATCTAAATCTTGAGTTTGTTAAAATGTGTTGCCCTCTATAATAAAAATAGCATAATACCTGCTACAATTGAGTAATTTTGGTGAGGTGAATACTATCACAATCAGTAATTATTTTAAATCATCAAGTCTATACAAATAAATATGAAGGCGTTTGTTTAATTGCTTACACACTTCGAAACTGTGATATTTTGCTTCGGTAGGAGCCGTTTTAAGACTATAATAAAATATTGGTTTTAAATATCCATCTTCTTACTTTTGCAATAAAATTGAAGCATGTTCGGCCGGATAAGGTAAAATTATAGATCACAGAAAAACGTCATTTATTTTTGGGCGGCCTTATCCGCCTTTTACTTGATTCCCTATTGACAATCGGAGCATGGTGCGCCTCTTCCCCAACTCCCACCTTCTCTCTTGCCAGTAGCAGAAACGCCTCGTAAAACTCGATGAACGACAACCTATAACTGAGCGAAAACTTTCCGTTGTCCTTCACAATTTGTGGGCACACATTCGACAGACATTGCAAGACGCGTTTCCTGCCCAGACATTTGAACACGGACATGCCTAAACCTGCATCGGAGCTTCCCTCTATACGTCGTTGACAGCTGACTTTGTACTGCAACTCGTTGTTCAGGTTCACTACGTTTTTACCGGTCAGGACGACGACAGTTTTGTGTTGGTTGTCCAGGTCGATCGTTTCGTAGCAAGGCACAGCGACGCGCTCGCCTGATAGATCGCAATGTTTCAGGAAATCAGCGACGCGATGCGGCTCGCCTACGCTTCGATACAGGCTGTAGACGGCCGAGATCGGCACCAAATCTTTTAACGCGTTGAGGCAATGGCCTCTGAAGCGACCGACGTTCGACATCAACCTCTGCATGAAATCCTTGAACAAATAATACATAATCCCGCTCGTGGGCGTAAATTCGCATTTGTTCCCGTTGAGGAAGCTGAGGCAGCAAGCCCCGAGGAGTGCGTGAAGAAACTGCCAAAAATAAATCGGCTCCCAAGGACAATGCGTCGTCTCGAAGCAAGCTTTCGGGTGACCAGCGGCGATCTCATCGAAAGTAACGAGCGGCACGCCCTCTTTCTCGGTCAGATCGATGTCCCACAGTAGCTGCCACAAAAACATTCGTACCAGTACGTTTCCCCCACGAGCGTACACGCGATAGACGGTTCTGAGTTGGGTAAGATGGTTGATCAGCAGGTTCTTCAGCTGCCTCGCCTCATGGTTGATGTCGGGGAGGTTTTCCTTGCTGACGCTCGGTTCCGGACAGTCTGGACACACGTGCACGTTGACCGACGGCACGTAGTTCACCTTGGACATGGAATCTGCGGAGCAGACGGAACCGCCGCGAGCCACGTTCTTGATTTGGATCGTGCTGATTTCGGAAACTTTTAGAAATTTGCACGGCCTCAGCACCATTTCGATCCAGTAATCCAAATCGATGTCCTCGACGTCGCTGAAAAACGGTACCGGCTGAAGGTGGTCGTTTTGGTGGGTCCCTTCGGGGACGTTCTTCGCGTCTTCGGATGAATCGTGGTCGGGCAAACGTGTGGTCGATAGCTGAGGCAACAATAAAGGTGCGTCGTTTTCGAAAAGCGGGTTCCTTTCCGAAGTTAAACCATTTCCGCCGATCATTAGACCCGGTCCGTGTTTGTCGTTGTTTCTCCAAGTGCCTTTCAGTTTGGCGCCGCACTCGTGACCGAAATTCATCACTCCCTCGCCGTTCCTCTTTCCCGTCGTCCAGTTACCCTCGTAGGAGTTATTGTTAGTGAAAAAAAATGCGTCACCGTTCAGTACGCCCCACGTGTATTCGCCGTATCCGTTTTGAAGTCCCTCGCGCCATTCGCCGGTGTAGTGATCGTTGTTTTCCCACACCATCCAACCTCGGCCGTGTGGTTTACCACTGCACCAGTTTCCGTGGTATGCCGCACCGTGCGGGTAGTGCCTGAATCCAGAAACGTTTATCGTACACGAAAAAAAAAACAATACACATAATGGTGACGAAAAAAGAATTGTGACTTGTCAGACATTAAAAATTAATTGCGAATATAAAGTCCGAAAAAGTCTGAAATATAGTATGTGGAAACTGGATTCACGATGAATGTCCGGCAATAAAAAGCTCGTCATCCATTTTAAGAACTCCCGCATTCGCGTTAAGCTTTATGTAAAGTCACTAATAGTATGTATTTATGTACAGAAGTTAGAAGTTGTTCGACACTATTGTAGAACCGATGACAAATTTTTGCATGGATCCTTTCCCATAAATATATTTAAAAAAACGGTGCAACAATGATTTCAAATAGCACGATAGCACTCCTATTTGTTTTTTCAAAATTCTTCGAAAAAGCACAGCATTCAAGATTTTTAAATTTTTTGGAAAGTCGAGACCTTTTTTCCGGCATGCAATTTGGTTTTCGAAAAAAGCGATCAACGCAGGATAGCATTCTCTCTTTATATAAGCATATTCTTGGCTTTGTTCATATGGTATTAGAGGCAACGTCATAAATTGGTTAAGGTCTTTTCTTGAGGGTCGCAGTTGGTCAAATGGAGAGATACCTTAGGATTTGAATACATCTCTAGTCAGTGAATTGCGTCAAGTTTACTAAGTCCTTTATTGTTCATAGTGTTTATAAATGATGCGTTTTCATCTTTCCCCCACACTTACTTTTCCCTTTTTGCAGATGATGCAGTTTTTACCCGTTCTGTAGCATCGTCTGAGCAACTTAGCATTGCAACCAAGACAACTGTTAAGCAAATGAAACATTATGCAGAAATTAACAAATTGATATTAAATGAAAGTAAAACTAAGATGATCGCCCTTTCAACATGGGATTTAAAAGTGTTGTAAAAATTCCTCGGAGTTTATGTAAATTCGAGACTCTCCTGGCTCGAACAGGTGGATCACATTCTCAAAAAACTTTCTGTTTACTGCTTTGTCATATGAAGGCTCCGCCATCAGGTTTCTTTCCCCTTGTTAAAAGTGTTTTTTTGACTATTTCCAAAGTCTATATGGAAGAGTTGGGCAAGACAGCAGATCAACCTGTTACCAAGAGATTGATGCTTTCATTAACGCAAACGATGTTTGGTCATATAGGATTCACCTGTCCTACTACCATGATTCCGAAGTTATTACTGCAGAAAACCTGGAAGGAAAAGATAGGATGCACAGTGAATCAAAACACTAAAAGTGCTTTTCACCAATCGGCCAAAGAATTACCACACTTCGCGGTGAAGATGGAGCTAATGATTGGAGGCTACAAACTTTTGAGATGCACACATAATGGTGAGACCTTTATGAATTTACTGGCAGCAAAGAGCCGTGCGTCGCCTTCGAAAGAGGTTGGACCAAGACTGTATGCTTCCGTTGTCCAACCATCAAGTGGATCCGTCGAAATGAAGAATGCATAATCGTATCACCGAAATTCGTCTTTTAACTTCCTGGGAAGATTGACGTTATGTTTCCGGAGTTTTGAATACCGCCGATATGCCATCTCGTGGGTGTTCCGTAAAGTACTTTGAATCGTCTAAATGGTGGGAGGGTCAAGTTAACTCTACTTCGATCCAAATCTGTGGCCTCAAGAGGATGGAAGCGGTAATGAGAAAGTAGAAATACTAAAAGGATGTCGAACTTCCATTGTCTTTATTTTTAACTTACACAACGTTTCGGACGGTTGTATCACTAATCGTTATCAAGCGTAAACTAAACTTAATTCTAAGGCTACAAGGTTTATATACTAGGCGACGGCGTTCATCCATGACGGAATCAGGTGTAGTCAAGCGTGAAGTTGTTCAACTAGAAGGCCACCATTGGTGCGCCTTATTAGAGGTCGCCAAATTGTTGGCATATCCACGCTTGGATTGCTGAAGATGTTTTCATTGTTTCTAATGAAAACTGTTTCTTTAAATTTGCGCTTCCTCCAATGCTGCTCTCTGTGAACAACCCGCGCCTTGGACCATTGGATGTTGTGTTGTTTGGTCCACACATGTTCTGCGATACCTGATTTTTGAGTTTCACCCTTCATTGTATGTTTTTTATGTTCTTCAACTCTTATTTTTATAGGTCGTTTGGTTTCGCCAATATATGACTTACCGCATTCACAGGGTATCTGGTAGATACGCTCTTTCTCTTGAGTCGACGTTTCAGGCTTTGTTTTTGTGAATACACTTCTTAATGTTGGTCCAGATTTAAATAAAGTTTTAACTTGATATTGTTTAGCTATTCGCCTAATCTTTTCCGATATTCCTTTCACGTATGGGATCGTCAAGAGAGAAAGAGTATCTATCTCACATGGTTCCGGTGTTGTTTACCGCTTACAGTTTTTTATTATTTTGTTTATAGATTTTTCGGAGGAACCGTTCTGAAGCAAATCCTTTTTAATATGATTCAATTCGGCATCGAGAGATGCTTGGTCGCTACATATTGTGATTGCTCTTTTGCACAGTGTTTTAATTATTCCTAGTTTGGTTGCTTTTCAGAATGGTTAGACTCAAAATTTAGATACTGTCCTGTGCGGGTAGGTTTCCTATATAAAGACGTGTTAATAGAACCATTATTTCTACTTACTAAGACGTCTAAGAACGGTAGACAGCCGTTCTTTTCTTTCTCAATAGTAAATTTAATTATGTTCCCAAAGAATTAAGATGATTGAGAAAAGAGTCTAGCTGTCTATCGGTTCCACTCCACATAATCGTCAACATATCTAAGCCGGATCTTAGGTTTAATAGTTGCAGTGTTTATGGCATGAATTTCAAACCACTCCATGAATATGTTCGCTATCACCGGAGAGAGAGAAGAACCCATCGGCAGGCCATCACTTTGTGCGTAAAATTTATCTTTGACTTGAAAGTAAGAATTAAGCAAACAGCACCTCAGAAGCTCCAACACTCCCTCAAGTCGCAGCGAAGTTCTCTCTGATAGGGTTGTCTCATTCCTTAGTGTAGCCTCGTCAATACTTAACGATTCCTCCAAGGGCACGTTGGTATATAGACTTTCAACGTCAAAGCTAATAAACTTGTCTGAAGGATCTAGTTTCACGTGTTTTAGAATATCTACCCAGTGAAGAAGTTTTACCTACAAGTGGCCGGACGATTTGAAGGAGAAATCTACTTAAGCTGCTGGTTGCAGAATCTCTTGAACTAGTGATCGGTCTGAGTGGTATATTATCTTTATGGATTTTTGGTTTGGTGTGATGTGGAGTTAACGTGGTTCTAATGTTATCCGGAATATAGCGTCTGTATTTACGGAGAGATCGGTAGATTTTTCCTTCAATCGCTTTAGTAGGGTATTTTCCTTTAGTAAGCGTCTCCTCGATTTTTTGATCATATTCCTGGGTATTCATCATAACTGTGGCATTGCCGTTATCTGCTGGAAGGATCTTGATGTTTCTATCCTTCTGTAAGTTCTTAATGGCTCCTTGTTCCTCTTTGGTTATATTCCTCGTCTGTTTTCTTGTTTTCTCAAGAACTGTCCCAACTTCCCACCGTAGTTCATCTGCTTCGGGTCCTTCCAGTCGCACCGTGTCTATGGAGCTTATAATATCCAACGTTGGTGCTCGGGGGGCAAGGGCAAAGTTGTGTCCTTTGCTCAATATTTGCTCTTCAGTACTGAAAAGATTTCTGGAAGACAGATTTACTATTGTTCGCTTTACTTCTTTAATGTTTTCTGGTTGTTGGCGTTTTGCAAATTTGAGCAGCTTTCTCTCGTGGTTCTTCTGAAGTCCTTCCCTAATCTTGGCACATGATCTATCAATCTTCTCAAATATGTGCTTGTGGGCTTCTTCTCAGGTCAGTTCCTTTATTTCTTCGAATCCTGTTGGATGTCATTTAAAAGCACCGATTTCTTCCATCTGTGGAAGAACACAACATCCAATGGTCCAGGGCGCGGGTTGTTCACAGAGAGCAGCATTGGAGAAAGCGCAAATTTAAAGAAGCAGTTTTCATTAGAAACAATGAAAACATCTTCAGCAATCCAAGCGTGGATATACCAACAATTTGGCAACCTCTGATAAGGCGCACCAATGCTGGCGTTCTAGTTTTGAACAACGCTTCACGCTTGACTACACCCGAGTCCGTCATGGATGAGCGCCGTCGCCTAGTATATAAACCTTGTAGCCTTACAATTAAGTTTAGTTTACACTTGATAACGGGTAGTGATACAACTGTCCGAAACGTTGTGTAAGTTAAAAATAAAGAGAATCTAGACAATGTAGTATTTCTACTGAATCAGTGTCCACCACCTTCAAGCAAACAATGAGAAAGTAGTTTTGTCTATGCTAAATTCCAATTCAATCATAACCTAAAGTAAGTGGCACCTGAACTATTTTTCGTAAGTATTACAAAACTATGCCAATGGTAACATTATCTTCGAAGTCCATTAAAGCGTAGAGGAGAGTTGATGGCTGAAGTTAAGTTAAGAGTTCTTAGCCTTGCATGTCTGATTTTGTTAGGTTAAGGTTTTATGTTTTAGTTCGAGAACCTGTTGTAATAGTATTGTCTTCAAGCTTAGGATTAGTTTATAAGCTAGCAATGGCGCGATTTGGCTGTGTGGCCAAGAAGAAAAATGTGTCATACGCAGTCTATCAATAAAGTTTTGCTATGCGAAAAGGGTCGTTTCGTATTGTTACATTTTTCTATACCGAGAATAACCGTAACCGTATCGAAGTATATCTACATTAAAGGGGTAGTTTATCGCGGGTATATGCAACATTTCCTGTCTATTCCTCTCTCAGGTACTCCTTGGTTTGTTACCAGTGTTACCCAGTTGTAACTACTATTTGTTATGGCCAGGTCGGCTTGACTTTTCTTCGGTTTTAGAAGAAAGGTAAGCAAATCCCTGCCATTTAGCTGGTGCTGAAGAAATTCCGTACATATGACGATTCGCTCTGTAAATGATTTTCGGGGTATTGATAGTGACAATTTTTGATGATTCGTGATCATAAGAATGACGAACTTCGAATGAAGAGAAGAATTAATTGTTTACCATTTCGGAGTGTATGTCTGCAATATTAGGAATAGCTGTTTGTTCATGGTTACCTCATAATCTCCGCAGATAGTGATTGAACCAACAGGGACGGTTGGTGTGGACCATTAAAAATTAGGAATTTTAGAAATTATTACAAGCTGGTCGAAGAGCTAGTGGTACTTTCATAGCTTTGAAATACACTGGAATGGAATTGGTTTTTAAATGTTATGTTTCAATGGCATCTTTTAGTTTAACAGTTCTTGGAGAAAATAAATCTTTTTATTGGGCCATTAAACCGTTGAAAGGCTGAAAATAATTTTTATTTGAACGTTTCTTAATTAAAACCATTCAGTTGACTTCACCTGAACCTGGAAACTGGAACTAATGGAAATTGCTTCGAACAATCCTTGACAAAACTGTTATTTGCGGACGTAATTTTTTTTAAATATAAATTACAACGTTAATTCGATCACCGATGGGCTAAAATTGTGTCCATACTAGTCCGTTGAATATTATTGGCTCGTTTTGAGGCAACGTTTCAAATTTGTTCATCGTAGACTTTAGACTGTCAATAGGCAGCAACACTACAAGACTATCCTCCTGGCGGCAACTACGAACTGAAGAAAATCGAGAATATTCATCTGCCAGGCCAACCCAAACTTTCAACTGAAAAGCGAGCTTCGGAGACAGTTTTGATTCCATTGAGAAAGTTTGCCAGGACTGAGGCCAAGGGTCCCAATAGTGGACAAAATTGTGCCTGACGCAAGTACAGCCGGTATATAAATCCTGACCAGAGCATCATGAGCGTTCTCAACCCCAGTTAGGCTGTTTTTAGGAGAGGAAGCAAGTTCCATTCATCTTCTACCCAGCTCTATGTACTTTTATTTAAGGTTATGTCAAGTGTTAATCACTATTAATCAAAAACATTAGTTTGTTGAAAGTTATTTCGAAAGGTTTTAATTAATATGATAACGAACAGTAGGTATAATGAGCAATCGCAGCTGACAGTTTTAAATATATTGGTTACTTTCAAAAATTAAATGAACAAATGGGTATAATTCCGACTATAGTAACAGTATTTATTAAGCACGAAGAACTCTCCAAACTCCCCGCGAATATGCAAAGCTGCAGATATAACTCGGCATCGAGCTCTCTGTAGTATCATTGTTGAAAGGCTATTGCCACAGAGAAACATAGGTATACTTACATATACATGATGTTTCTCTAGAACCGTATGAAGCTGCTAAGAGGGTTTATTTATATTATTAACCCAGAGTAAGGTAACCCTAACAACTTACCTGGATATTAAGGGCTGGAGTGAAATGAAATGGCATACCTTTTTGAGTGGAATGGTGCAGAGAGCTCGACTACACTAGCTACGGTTACCAGGAATTTGGGAACACATTAATGGAATGTTCTACGAAGAAAAACACAACTGATACCCTGTTAACATGAGAATTGCAGAACCGAACACTGCAACCTGAAACAATACATGCACAAAAAATTGCTTTCGCACTACGATTTCAATTGGAGCTGAGAATCTGAAGGCCAGTAATTCAACGACAGTATACTGAGTTTTTCAAGGAAAGGGAGGTGTCAATGCCTGGTCTCCTGACTACCAAAGACAGGACAGTGACTAGGATTACGCCCATAATGGTACAACTAAACTCTATAGCAACCTACCGGAACCCAAGTCCATGCTTCTGGTCTTCGCGCCACTCACCCTGGTACCAATTGTTTTCCGCGTAAAGTAACCACCCTTCGCCGCATTTTCTCCCCTGACGCCATTGCCCCGAATAGAGTATCGGCGTGGACACTATATTGAAGACGCCGTGTCCGTGGAAAAACGACTTAGAGACCTGACCCTCGTAGGTGCTCAAATCGGGAAGAACGATTTTACCCTGGCCGTCTGGGTATCCTTCTGCGAACGAGCCCTCGTAGATTGTACCGTCGGCCCAACGAAACTTTCCCTTTCCGTGCATGAGGTTGTGTTCGACTTGACCTTCGTACACGTTTCCGTTTTTGAAAATTATTTTGAAATCGCCATCGACGTCTTGGTTTGGGTCTACGTTTTGTTTATCGCCCGTTAATGGTGTCGTTCCAACTATGATCGTTCCTAGAAGCGATTCGAAAAATTCCGTGGTCAATTTCTTTGTCAGGTCGACGGGAGTAGGATCGGGAACGGTTTCCTGGGGTGGTGGAGCGACGACGCTGGACACGCGCGACGATTTGGAACTTCGATTTGACCGAACTGATTTCCTTCTGGTCGAAACGGAATTACTCATTTCCCGTGTCGATCTATTTTGTGTCATTTGACAGTATCCAGGTTACTTCATTGTTGAAATGTGTGCTTTCGACGAGAGCACCAAAACCAGCACTTTTGAAAAAAAAATCCTTAAATTATTACGCCACAACATATAATAGCATAGATATGCAGGAAAATAAAAATAACTAAAAAATTCAAGTACAGTAATTAGTGACCAATTTTCAAAGACACAAAGACTCGCTGCCACAAGGCTTCATGGAGAGACTATTTAACAGGTGTCATCCCTAAATTACATGGACATACTCGGCAATCAACAATGCGACCCAAAACCCTATATGAAACAAAGACTTGAGCAAGTGCGGAACAACATCAGGGCCTTGGACTCCGGACCAGAATCCTTCGCTGTCAGAGTTCTTCCTTTTGTATGGATGCAAAAGTTGGTCCCTGGATGGAGCCACATAAAAGAGAATGGATGCAAGGACTGCACCAATTAGGTAAACATAATTAAAATTACAGCACCTAGGACAGATTATGAGAAGTGACCGATATAAGATTCTCCGCCAGATGTGAGATCGAAGAAAAACGATCGGTCAGTTGAAGACGACAAAGAAGAAAGACTTACGCAGATGGCTCAGACAGACGTCTACAGAAAATTTAAGAGCTGCGATCTCTGGTAAGGCCATAGGATCGCTAATCTTCGTAGGAAGACGGGAGTAGTATAGTAGTACTGGTTCTAAGCCACTTTTGGCGGGAAATTTTGAATTTTCGTGAATGTTTGAATATGTTCCCGAACATACCCGAACACACCCCAACAAAACCGAACATTCCCGAACATACCCGGACACAGCCGAACGTACTCGAACACACCCGAACACACCCGAAGATTCAAAATTTTCTCGCGCCAACCTGAACATACCGGAAAATTCACGAAAATTAAAAATTTCCCGCCAAAAGTGGCTTAGAACCGGCACTACTATACTAATGACGAAGCCATAACAAGAAGAAGAAAAATTAGCGTTTTTTGAATTCAACAAAAAAAATGCAATAAATACAGTAAAAGTTCGCGCTTTCTTCATTTGCGGATTAAAAAAATGCCACTAAATTCTTATATTCGGGGCTAAAAATTTCTTTTTTCGCGGATCTAATAAGTATATACATAATTATAAAAGGATTCTGATAGGTATCCTACCCAATGTCCTCTGTAAATGCCGTCAAATAGACTAATAAAAAAATTAAAATAATTTTTATTACAACTTTGCCTAAAGTATGTTGTTAAATGATATCGCCGAGGACTTTGACATAAGCCGCCTTCGCCGCGATCGGTGTTTTTTAGAATGTAAACAAACAGGATGAAAACAACCTTATTACTCCAGTATATTTTTAAATGTTGCTGTTCCTTTTTATGGCAAAAGCTGCTTTGCGTGTTTTATTATTTCGTTTCTCACATTCGGTACAAAAATTGCGATCGAGTAACACGTTTCTATCGCTATTTTTCTAATTTATAATGTCAACAAAAAAAAGAGAAACGAGTTTCGACACATAAAAAATCTGGGTTACCGCATAAAGGAAAATAGAAATAATTGATCGTTTACTCCTTGAAGAATCATTTGTATCCATATCACGCTCGTCCAATGTCAAGGAATCAACTGTACGATCGATAACAAAATTCGAAGATAAAATTGTTTGTGATTTAGTAATAGAAAAAATGGAAGCGGCGTTGTCATTATGGATCGAAAACCGCAACCATAAAACGGTGCTCCTGAATCCGGAAAAAGAAAAATCGTCTTTGCGCTCATTTTAAAGAACCTGATGATAGTTGTAGTGGTGAATGTACAGATAGAAGATTTCAAGCTTCGGAAAATTGGTTGAATAAATTTAAGATGCGGCAATCATTGCATAACATTAAAATCATTGGAGAAGCAGCATCTGCAGACACTGCTGCAGCATAACATTATCCAGAAGAATTGGCAAACCTAGTAGTTGATGAAGGATACAAACCTGAGCAAGTTTTGTTTCTGACTTTGGACAATGCACCAGGGGCAGTGGCATGGTGGCCGGGGACCAAAAGAGCAAGAGCAAGGCTAATTCTTGACAAACTGCAGAGATTGGCTTGCCTCCGCATAACGGGCGCCATTAGGACGGCGCCCACGAGGGCCCTAGAGGCTCTGGTGGGTATGACCTCTCCGGCGAATCGGGTGCGGATGGAGGCGGCCAGGACGGCTGTGAGGCTGGCGAGCTGCGGGCTCTGGAGGGAGGGAATCTTCAATCAGGGCCCGGACGATACTTTAGAGGGCTGGCCCGGGGATCGCGGGGTCGTGGGCATGCCGAGTGACGTCATAATCCCCGAGATGTCCTTCTCTGACAAATGGATCTTTCTCTTCCCATCAAGGGAAGAGTGGAGAGAGGTCAGAGTTGGCTCCTGGTCCAGAATGGGAGATTTGACCGGAGCTGGAGCGTACTGCGAGACAACGGGATCGACCTTGTCGGTCCCTCTGGGTCAGTACTGCACTGTGTTTCAGATGAAAATTTTCTTTTTGTTGATGGTGGCCAGAGAGGTGCTTCGGCTCAACCACGAAAGCACGAGGGTCTTCTTCTGTTCGGATAGTAGGGCTGCACTTATGGCGCTGATCAGTGCGTATGCGCTCCTTGTTGCTAAAGGAGTGCAATGGGGTACTGAGGAGAGTGGCTGAGGAGAGGAAGATCACGTTGGTCTGGATCCCGGGTCACACCGGTATCCGGGGCAATGAGGCAGCGGACGCCTTAGCCAGGGGGTATATGGGATCAGAGCCCCGCTTGGGGATCGCCCCGCGTGTGAGGCGGGGAGCGCTCGAAGCCTGGGTGAGAGACCGGGCCCCGTCTGGAGAGTTGCTCCGGGAATGAGGCAGGCGAGGCTTATGATGGATGGGCCCGCCCTCCCTCGGACCAGGGAGCTGCTTAGACTGATCGATCCGGACTCAGTGCACGGTATTGGGCTATAGGAGTTGCTGACCTTCTATAGGAGGGGCGGCATTCTGGGCGCCCTCTAGAGCGGTGCTTGGACGCCTGCGAGGGCGCACCCCTTTAAGACCAATACCAATACCAATGCACCAGGTCAGCCTCGCGAACTTTGAATGCATCCAAATATAAAGGTGACATTTTTACCTCCCAACACGACAGGATTTTAAGCTCTATTACATTAGGCGAACCTTCAAAATCATATTGGATAATATTGAATGTAATCCTGATATGAATGTTATGGAATGCTGGAAGAAATTTGACAGCAAAATGCATCCTAAACATAAAAGAATCATTGAAATAATTGAAGCCACACACATTGAAGTCATGCTGCAAAAACCTGTGGTGCTTTTATTATATTGTCACTTAGGAACGTATCCTTTATAATCCCATATAAATTACCATTCTGTATTCACGGTTTCTGTATTCGCTGCATATTTATGGAATACATACCTCGCGAATGAAGAGCACTTACTTTTATATATCGGGCTATAACGTTCGACGTCTTCCGATTCCTAATATCCACTCCTCCCTATCTTCCCATAAGTCTTCATCCAGGTTTCTTTCCTGAACATCTGTATCTGTATCTGTATCGCTTTTGCGCGGTCTTCCTCGTTTTCTTCTTTTTTGCGGCTTCCAGATTTTTTGTGGTATTCGTTGTGACCTTCTCTGTGCATATCCATGTCCATTCTCCAGAAGTCCATCTCCATGGCTCTTAAAGTTCTTTGTGTTTTTTCTTTCAGAGGCCACACTTTAGCACTATAAGTGATTATGCTTTGCAGGATTGAGTATGTATGTCCGTTGAACGTTTCTCTCAGATATCGCTTCGTCCAGTGTTCCATCTTGGAAGATTTGCATTCCTAAACATTTGTATCCTTTGCAATGCTTAATGGTTTGTCCCTTTGATATGTCTCGTTGTTGCCCCCCAATGGGCCTATACCGAGCATACAGTATTATCGATATTGACTTATACATCCCATTTCTCATATTCCTTAATCAATTTGCATTCATGTATTTGCAACAAAACTTGATCATCCTCGAACGATAGGGTATAGTCTAGTCATCTATTGATATTCCAATATTACTTCTTCTTCTGCAGGTGAGGTGTCTTCTCAGAACATGGACGATCACTAGCATGATGTTCACTTTGTCCGCAGCAGATCTAAACAATGTAGTGGTGTTTACTTCATACCACTGACGAAGATTTTTGGGCTAAGACGTCCTTCGGCGACCAGGACCACATTTTCCCCCTAGTTTTTGTTGTATGATTATATGGAGCAAAAATGCTTCAGGCTTCTTCTTTTAATGGTATTAAGTACCTCTCGTTCTTTGTTCATATGTTGCAGAACTACTTGATTCGCCGGGAAGCCCACATTTCGAAAGCCTCAATCCTCCTATACATTGTTTCAGTGAGGGTCCCTGCTGATATACCGTAGAATAATGTGTTAAAGACATGGCAACGTTAAGAAAATTCTTAAGGCTCTGTTGGTTAACACATTTTGCACGTTCTTAAAATAAGTTCTTGCTTGCTCCATTTGGTTTTTCATTTCTTGAGTTGAGTCCCAGTTTTCATTCATCCAACACTCCAAATACTTGTATGTTTGTACTCTCTCTATTATTTCTCTATTTCAGCTGATATCTGTTAAGTTATTAGTTATGTTTTTGTTTTTGCTGATGCCGTTCCATTTGGTTTTCTTTATATTTAAGCGTTGACCCATTTGTTGGCTGTGTTACCGCTGATAAAAGTTCATTCTTCGACGGCTTCCATGAAGATTTTTTTTGCATATAAATTAAACAAAAGTTGGGAGAGCACACATCGTTGTCATACTCCTCTCATAATAGGCACTTCTTCAGATGTCTGGCCGTTAACTCTTATGTCAGTTGTCTGTTTCCAGTATATGTTGGCTGTTATCCGAATGTTCTGAATGTCCAGCCAGGCCTATATTGTTCAGTATAGGTATTAATTTATCATGCTGAACAGTGCCAAATGTCCTTTCGTAATCAACGTAGCAGGCATATACATCA